TTAGATGGCATAGTGGTAAGTTGAGTTTCGCGACATCAACTCGATGGATTAACCCTCCGAGTGTCCCTAGTTTTGGCCTTAATGTTTGCCTATTTTTTGCGCATTTGCAAGGTTTTATTAAAACGGATCTGAGAAGCTTAAAAACAATGTTAATTATACTGTTCTATATACCATTTTGTTTGAAAAATTATGGGCTTCAATATTATACATAAAACATAAGGAAAATTTGTTTAAAAAAAAATTTTTGGGTAAAAAAAATTGTTTGGAAAATTTTCAAAAAAAAAAAAATAAGTTTGCGCTCAATGAAATTGTATAAATTATAGGCCTATAAATATTTGAAAATAGCCACTTTGTTCTAAATTTTATGAGGATTACAAATATATAATAATATAAGGAAGTAGATTTGGAAATAAATAAGTTATGGGCAAAAAACAGATTTCAGTACATAGCGTTTAGCTAAGAATGCATTGCCTAACCATAGCTAGGAATCTGGCTGATAATTTACATCAATATCACTACCTACTTCTTCAGGATCATCAATCAGCCCTCCAAAATCACTTAAATCTTCTTATAATGCACCACGTATATCACTACTTTTGATTTTTAGCTCTGTTAAATGGTTCTGAATTATTGTACCGTTTACCTGTGATAAAACTGATTAAAAAAATCATTTTAAATCGTTCAACGGAATTGATATAGGGACAATGTTAAATTGCTTTCCAAATCCAAAACGTTTTAGATTACGCCAGCAAATAGCAGAGGATTGCTTTCCTTCAGAAAACAATCTATGAAAAAAATGGAGTCTAGCACTACGTAAATGTTGTTTTACTTGATTTCTAAGCTGGCGATATTGGGCCATGAGCCCTTGATCCCTAGTTCTTTTGGCTCTGCGATGGACTGAGTCCCGCGGAGCCATTAAATAAATTATCTCATCATTAATCCAAGGAACGGAGCGACTTTTACTAACCCTATGGTTGACAAGTGGAGCGTGTTTGTCATATAATTTTAAAATGGTTTCATTAAATGAATCGACCATATCATCAACTGACTCCAGGGTATGTATGGAGTGCCAAGGCGTTAAATTTACATCAGACAAAAAATTTGCTTCATTCAAATTTCTAAAATCTCTGTAAGATATGAGTTTTTCTTCGGGCTTGGGAGCTCTCGTGGCAAGGGCACAATAAATAAGGTCATGTCGAGAAATGGCAGGGACTGGAAGCTGGCCATGGTGAACTGAAAATTCGGGATCACTTAGAATAATAAGGTCTAGTAATGTATCAGCTTCAGCAGTGTGATAGGTTGGGTCCAGTGGTAGTATCGTCAAGTTGCAAGAGTCAAAGACTTACGTTTATTCGATCGAGTTCGCGATCCAGCATAATCGGTTTATGGGGGGTAAAAATGGGGGTTTTCAATTTTTGACCCAAATTAAAAAAATTTTTGCAATTTCTTTTCAAACAGTTTTGTAGAGCTTAAAAAATAAATAATTTAGTATATTAAAGCTCTGTTGTATGCCTAACGGTCACGGAGAAAATTCAAAAATAGTGTAATTTAAAATTCCCATGTTATTCTTATGGAGAAAATGAAAGTTGTTGTAGTTTACTTGTTTATGGATATATATTGATAACATTTGGCAAATTTTTTTATTTCATCCTGTACTATTGACGTATGGTCAAAAAACACTTTTTACCTTCCACGTAGCAGCAAACCTAAGCACTCATTAAATCTAATGTTATTTAAATATGGAATAAATATGTCTTATTTATGGAAATATTTTGGTAAAAATGTAATCAGACAAGTTGAAATTCGCTTAGTCTGCAGTTTTGCTGCGGCGGGGGTATTTCTAGTATGGGCTGTTAAAAAATTAACAGGGGGTCTCTAGACTTTTTACTAACCCTGGATATAACAGATACATATAGATATGTATGTATAGCCTTCTTCACTTTCAGATTCCAAATATTTTCCATAATTCTTTTTCCTTACTCTTCCACTACCTTCACCATTACTCTCAGACTCGTTGACCTGCTGCAACTTCTTACGATTTCTCAGTTGTAAGTAAAAGTATTCTCTCTTTTTGGTCTTCCCTTACCTTTCCACCATTTGTTGGTAGTGTAACAGATAGTGATGGGCGGATCCAAGAAAATGTCGGTACCGGATCCGGATCTTGAAAAATTCGGATCTTCGGATCCGGATCCAGATACACACTCTCATAAGGGCGGGTTAAAAAAACGTTATTAACAGAATGCCAATTTAAATCATACTGTTTAAAATTAAATTGGTAATGTTTAAAGGTTAATATATCTTATATAGAGAGTAATCTCCAGTTGAGCCCATAATCCCTCATTTGTTGGGGACACTAACAAAATCATAAAATGCACTAAGTTTGCTAACTAAAACTGCCACTAAAACTGAGATTTTTTATCACGAAGCATCGGTTGGGATTGAATTACTAACGGGATATTTTTGAGACAAGATTATAGGCCATTAGCTTATCATCCAGGTACAAAACTAAAAACTAGAGGTGTGCAGATATCCGAAAAATCGGGTCGGATTTGGTTCGGAAAGATACATACCATTGCCATATATGTTATTTGCATCAAGAGACAAAACACTGAGACATGGCCTTACCATATATGTTATTTGAACCAAGAGACAAACATTGAGACATGGCCTTGCCATATAAGTTATTTGCATCAAAAGACAAACACTGAGTCATGGCCTTGCCATATAAGTTATTTACTTCAAGAGGCAAACACTGAGTCATGGCCTTGCCATATAAGTTATTTGCATCAAGAGACAAACACTGAGTCATGGCCTTGCCATATAAGTTATTTGCATCTAAAGACAAACACTGAGTCATGGCCTTGCCATATAAGTTATTTGCATCAAAAGACAAACCCTGAGACATGGCCTTGCCATATAAGTTATTTGCATCAAGAGACAAACACTGAGACATGGCCTTGCCATATAAGTTATCTGCATAAAGAGGCAAACACTGAGACATTGCCTTGCTATACAAGTTATTTGCATCTAGATACAAACATCGAGACATGGCCTTGCCATATAAATCGTTTGCATCAAGAGACACTCGGGGAAAAAACGATCTTGTACATGGATACAGATAGCTTTGTGTTAGTAAACAAATCGGGGTTGTACAGTGATACAGTCAGCTTTGTGTTAGTAAACAAATCGGGGTTGTACAGTGATACAGACTGCTTTGTGTTGGTAAAAAGTCGGGGTTGTATAGTGATACAAATAGCTTTGTGTTAGGAAAAAAATCGGGAAAAAATTTAAAAAAAACCGAATCCATGAAAACCGGATCCAGACCAAGATCCGGAATTTTTTGGATCCGACCCGGTGCAGGTTCTAGCTCGGATCCGGTAGTCAGATATCCGGATCCGACCATCACTAGTAACAGACAATGTTACCTGTTGCAGTGTTTAGGGGCTTTCTTGTCTCACTGCGTGATCTTCAGTTCTTGCTCCTGCCCTCTCTTCGTATCCTTGGACTCCTCAAAGTATTCACACGACGTAACATTGAGCGCAGGTAGTATCTCGGTGTCCGTTACGGTTGATGCGACCCCAGGAGAATCGGTCTGATGCAGGATCCCATCCTCATCTCCCGAGATGGCTGACAAGTCCTCGACCATCTCTGTCCGTCACAAGATTTCTTCTGCACCACCTGTGATTACCAATGAGTCATGGATCATCTCTGTCTGTCGTAGGATCTCTTTTGCACCTCCTGTGATGACCAATAAGTCCTCGACCATATCTGTCCGTCACAGAATCTCTTCTGCATCTCCTCTGATTACCAATGAGTCCTCAGCCATCTCTGTCCGTCGCAGGATCTCTTCTGCCCCTCCCAAGGAAGCTGATGAGTCCTCCTGGACCTTCTTTGTCCTATTCAGGATCTTTCCCCGAGAAGGCCGATGAGTCCTTAAAAGTCTCTGTCCGACGTAGGATCTCTATACCTCCGGGGATGGCTGGTGAGTCCTCGGCTAACTCCAAGATATTTTCCCGGTTGTTGAATTTGATTTCATTGTAAATAATCTCCATGTCCGATTTGTCTGTTTCATAGGTGTTGGTAATAAGTTTAGTTTCTAATTTTAGTTTGTTTTCCAAAATGTTTTTAATGGAGGATGAAGTTACATTTTTGATGTCTGCAAAATGAGTATCCAATTGTTTTGATCAAGTTTCTAACTGCCGAAATCTTTGCTAGTAACATACTCACCGGGTCCGCTGGTGGTCGTAGCTCTACCAATTGGGTATTTCGTCCTATCTGTGGACGAAACTCGTAGGCTCCGCCTCCCACCCCCATCGGCTCACCTTCATCCAGACGTTCCCTCATCATTTCTATTGTCAAATCTCCAAATCCTAATTTTGTCATTTCTTTTAAAGATCCTGTCACGGTTGCCAACCTCTAATCTGTTAAAAATGTAACCATTTAAATTTCCATATTAAATTATATTTTTTGTATAAACTGGTTTTTGCCTAATCTATTTAATATTTTATAAAAAAAAACCTTTGTAACTAAAAAAAACCATCAAAGATACGGATTCAAACATAATAACCATTTTTTAAAGCTCATATTTTTATGAGTAAACTGGCACTTGTTGCACTGTTCTATCTCAAATGGTTCTCGAGTTATACGCATTTTAGTAAACGGCACCCCCGCCATATTGCCCCCACTCCCCCGGGGATGTCGACCACGCTGGGGGGCGACAACATGCGTTTTCATGATCACTGTAGTGCCTATAACAACAATCAGAAATAAAATTGCGTCAGCCTTTCCATGCATACTCAACCCCCTTCAAATCCTGGACTAAAAGTGTCGGTTCAAAAGCGTTTACAAGTTTTGTGATTTTCCCCATGGAAACTGATAGCTACTCCTTCCAGTTACCCAGTATAATTAAAATTTTTGTTCATGAAAGGTTTTTTATGTAAAACAGTTACCTATTTAAAAATATTAATGTAATTACAAACAAAAATGTATTTTTTGTGCAGGTAACAAAGCGAGAGAGTCTGGGAGTGAGGCAGAGTGGTCACAGCCACAACAAGCTGAACCCCCTGGAGGTGTTCTCAGGGTTCAAACCAGCCGTCGAGGCCTGCTTCCTGAACTGGGACGACTACCCTATACCTGGCATCACATACACCAGCCAGTCCTGGCTCTATCAGAACCAATCCTTCACCTGCTTCCGTCACAATGAGCCACCACGTACTGGCAACGAACATCCCAACATTAACCCCGTAATTCACCTTCAGTCTTTAGTTAAAACCGCTCCAATTAATTATTTAATATTAATTTCTATTTTATATAAATATTTAAATAAATGGAGGCCAAATACCATTTAGGGTACTGGTTGCCCACAGCAGTAAGTATTTGTATTTAGATAAATGTTCCTCCTTTTAGCTATTTCCCTATGGGGAAGTAGCTATTACGTTGTATTGATAGTCAAAGCTATTACTGTAGGTGGCTAAGACCTGGACACGGGACCGATATACTTTTTCATCTTTATGTCTCTAGAGGCCAAAAACTGTATTCGTTAAAATTTGTATACATATACATACTAGAGCACCTGTTGCTTGAATTCAAGCAATAGCAAAGTAATACAGGCCTTATATCAAAACAAATAACAGTCATAATTTCCGACTACAAAAGAGCAAACTCAAAGATAGTTTTTAATCAATCATTCACTCCAGTTATCGAATCTGAAAACAAACGCTCTTGTGTGTATCGTGTGTTTCCTATAAACAGCTGTTTTAGTATGCAATTAGTACAAATTATTCGTTTGTTTAAGTAAACAAAATCTTTTCTTCATAAGAAACACATTGGGATTTTGATGGCCTGTGGGCCAAAGTCATGACTTTGATTACAGGAATTGGTGAAAGGGGGAATCTACACAAAAAATAACTTTATTTTGACACATCGTTTGTAAGTGTTTTGTAGAAATCACCTTCACGTATTATATATAAGGATTGTTCTTGAGGATTTCTTTATAGAATGATGAAAAATGAAACATGAACCAGTGCGAATTTTCGTCTAATACAAACGTTTTCAAGCAGAGAGAAATTAATGAAAAATGTAAAAATGAACAAAACAAATAAATATGAACTGTTTACAAGTAGTTGATTTTTTAGAACATATGATTGAGTAAAAGAAAAAGAAAAATTCTGCTGAGTTGCATATAAAAACAGTTTGTTGAAAGCATCTAGGATCTTAATTATTTATTTCTTATACAAAATACTAAATAAACATTGGGTGTTCATGTACCTCCTAGCAAATGTAGATTGAATGACAATAATTATTGTTAGTAAAAAAAGTCTGAAATACTCCAAATTTGCTTTTAACTTACTTCCATGGAAACATTAGTAAGCACTGTTTGCATTGGTGCTGAATGATTGATTCTCAATAATTCTCTAATAAGTTCTAAACAGAATTTCCTCCAAAATGATATATTTAACACACTCTCTACCGATCGCCACATATTTGCGACGCTACAGTCATTGCCACAGCCCGAGGTATACATTATAATATTACACATAGACCGCGTGTCACTTGGTAACAGTACATGCAGACCACGGGCCAGTGATGCAGCAAGTCATATGACGTCACTAATCATCATATCCACAGACCAAGTGACGCAGTTGTGCGTCAGAAATCCCTGTAGACCACTGCAGAGAATTCAGGGCCTTCAAATAGACTGTTACGAATATCTAAGCTTTTTAATAACATTGGGACACCAACGCAAATATGCGACATTAGTCAGTCTATAGGTAGAAACCGGCAGTCGTATATGTGCGTCGCTGGTCCATAATTTAGTACTATAGCGGTAGCAAACATGTTAAGTTGCAATTTTGAACGTCACTTTCTGTTATAACCTATGTTGTTATGTGTAGGTGAACTCGTCACAGGTAGTGCTGGACCACCACCAGAGATCACATCATCATTACCACTACCACAACCTTCATCTGCACCACACCAATGGTAACAACAAACGGCTGGCCCGCAACACCAGTGGTACTAACCGGCAAGACAGGTGTGAAAACATATTACATTTCATTATTCATTTTTGCAATTTATTTTAGTTTGCAAGCACAATGATTTTGTCAAATAAAAATTCTGTTTAAAAGATTACCAAGCCATAATACTATTGTCTTTGTTACAGACACAACCAGATGTACCGACTAAACTTGCTGACCTACATGACCCACTCCCAGAGGCAGCAGCAGATGGTGGTTGGAGGCAATCACAGCTCTGTGTCCAGCGAAGGCTTCTGTGACGGAGATGTGGCCCCGCGCCAGGAACACGAGGAGACTGACTCTCAGGGTGGAGGTTGGTTCTCATTCATCTACTATGTGTTTAGGCACTGCCAAATTACTAAAAATGCGGGATTACTGGGTGCTGTCTTAAAAAGGTACTAGCTGTTGGCCCTTTCTACTTACGGGAATCAAGTAGTCGATTCCAACTGAATATAATTTAGGACTGCTATTTTAAACGCATAAAGAAAAGTTCTGGAAGTTTTAATAGGGAAAATCAACTTGTAAACTAATACCACTTTACCATCTACCTCTTTCATCCGATTATAGGCCTATACGATATGCATTTTAATCCGATAATTTTACAATAAAACATCAATTGTAATGAAAAGCCTTGAAGTGAGATATGGGAACGGGGTGTTATGGGGGTTTTTATGGGGTAAAAATTGGATCTCTAGTTTTTGATAGGTACTCAAAACATACAATTTCGTAATTTCTCTTTAAATCTTTTTAAAGAGCTTAAAAAAACAAATAACTTAGTACCGGTATATTGAAGTGTTTTTTACTGTTATTGGTTACGGAGAAAATTTAATAAATTGTAAATTTAAAATTACCATGATATTCTTATGGAGAATAAGTAAACTGTTGTAGTTTGCTTGCTTATAGATATATATTTTGATCAAATTTGGCAAATTCATTTATTTTGTAATAAGCTATTCATTTTTTACTAAAAACACACTTTATTACCCTCCCTGTAAAGCTGGGTTTTCCTAGACGCGGAGTCGGCCAGCGGAGAGAGGAACGTGGAGAGCGGAATTGAAATTAACATGGCATTCCGCTCCGCTGCTAGGAAAACAGTAACATTAAATTACCTAAGACAAGCTGAGTCCGCTCTCCGCGTTCCTCTCTCCGCTGGCCGACTCCGCACCTAGGAAAACCCGGCTTAACAGCAAATTTAGGTACTTGTTATCCTAATGTGATTTAAACAGACTTAATTGAAAATTCATTCAGTACATGGAAATTCGCTTAGTCTGCAGGTTTGCTGTGGCAGGGGTATTTTGTTTTTATTTTTGTTATACTTGGACATATGTTGAAATTAATATATTATTGTAAAATACATAACAGGACATAACTTAAAAATAATTAACAGAGAAATAAAAAAAAATAGGCTTAGGGCTTAAAGTGTTAGTACAAGAAATACTGCACATAAACCTTTGTATATTGTAACGATCTCTTTCAGCTCTACAAATAAAGTGTTTCTATTATTTTTTACTTTTCGCCTTTGTATTTTTATTGTGCAATGTGTAATTTATAATGTGTTCATAAATGGCATTGGATTTGTTTTGTCCAGGAGGCAGTGACTCATCATGGAGCAGTGGTCGGGAAGGAGAAGTAGAACCTGAGGGAGAGACAGTGACTCCCGCAAAGTTCATGGGCTATAGTGGAGATGACAGTGACTCCTCACCCCCTGCACCCCGCCCCCCTCCACATCCCTCACCACCTCGCCGTCTCAGTAAAGATGACTCCCTTAGTTCCAGCAACTCCGACTGGCAGCCTAGTGGGGATGAGTTCAACGTCTATTACTATGACCCTAAGGTAAAAGACAGGGCACAGTAACTCTCTGTATTTTTTTTATAACCTCAAGACATTTTAAAAGAAGCTAAGCAGCTTGATGTATTTTGCTCTATAACATTTTTTGAGTGGTAGTCTGTATGACCCAGCAAATTAATCCGGCTCCCTTGTAAATAACATTTATCATAGCCATCCTGTGCGAAGCATTCACACTGTATCCTCCTCTAATCCCGCTTAATTGAAGTACACAATGCTAAATAAACTAAAACAATAAATAAATAACTACAACAACAGCCTCCTTAGGTCTGAAATGCCTGAAGAAACCGTTTTAGTTGGGTACGCAGATGACATTGCAGCCTTAATAGCTGCTCGTAGTGTTGAGCTGGCCCAGGTAAAATTAAACCGAGTCATGCAAACTATAAACGCATGGATGGCAGATCACGGTCTCTCTCTCGCACTAAACAAAACTGAGATCATGATTCTGACCAAAAAGCGGATTGACACCATTGTGCCGTTGAGGGTGGGGGACGTCGAAGTCCAATCCGTTCGCGCCGCCAAGTATCTTGGTGTCATGGTGGACTCTAAGCTTAGCTGGCGGGACCAGATATTCCGAACGGCGGACAAGGCCGCTAAGGTTATCTCTTCTCTTAGCCGGTTAGTGGCCAATGTTGGAGGTCCTCGTTCCAGTCGCAGAAGGCTGTTGATGTCTACAGTTCAGTCTGTGCTCCTGTATGGTGCGGAAGTGTGGGCAGACGCGCTCAATAAGGAGGTGTATAGGATGCGGCTTGCCAGAGTGCAGCGTCAGGCAGCACTCAGGGTAGCATCCGCCTACCGAACAGTGTCTGAACCTGCCATCTTGGTGGTTGCTGGATTAATCCCCGTCAAACTTTTGGCGGTGGAGAGGAAAGCGATTTATCAGTGGCGCGGAGAGGACCATGCAAAAACGGAGGAGCGCAACCGCACCTACCAGCTCTGGCAGGAGAGCTGGGAACAGGAGTCGCGGGGACGCTGGACCAGGAGACTGATTCAGCAAGTCCAACCATGGGTTGACCGACGGTATGGTGAGGTGGACTATTACCTTACCCAGTTTCTGACAAGGTCACGGGTTTTTTCGGTCGTACCTTTTCAGGATGGGCAAAGCCGTGTCACCCAATTGCATCTACAGCCCAGGCACTCCCGACGACGCGGAGCACACCTTCTTCCGCTGCCAGCGTTGGGAAGGTCCCCGCCTGGAGACTGAACAACATGTAGGGCAGTTGTCGGTAGACACGGTCATTCCGATCCGATCCGAACGGAGGGTGAGGACAATTGGACCTGTATGTCACATTTCGTCCAGGATATTCACCGTACAAAGAAGCTAGAGCTTGACCGAGATGCAGTCTAGGTCATAAAGAAATTGAATGCCAGAAACGGCGCGAGCCCTGAGGGCTTAGGTCACACGTTGACCTGACCTGAAGTAATGTGACAAACAATCCCAGTTCTGTGTCCAACAGAGTAGAGGGAGTTTTTAGTGAGTAGTCTGGCAAGCTCATGAGTCTCACACTACAGGCTGGCTACCTGTGTGCGTTAAAGCATTTTTATGAAAAAAAAATGAAAAAAACTAAATGTCAGTCTATTGTAATTGAAAAAGGGCTTCTAGTTGAAAGTAATATGTGGTTAGATGAAAACTTATTCATAAAAAGTATTTCAGAATCAGATAGTGAAAACATAAAGTATTTTGGTGTTTACTTTTCCCAAGGGATCGTTTTTAATAAAGAAAGAATAATTAAATAATTCAAGTCCCAATTAGAAAGACTATCATTAACTACATTACTTTTGTCAAGCCAAAAGTTTAATATAACTAGAGGACCCATGCTGCTCCGCAGCGTAAAAAAAATATAACACCCAAGAAAAAAATCTAATTTATGATTTTTGATTGTGTAATACAGTATCTTAATCGCTTAAATAAAAGCCGATATTTCACTGAAAGCTCTTAGACCTAAATATATAGGATTATATAACTATAACTGGTGAAATACATTTTAAATTGATGTAAGAATTTGAAAATTAATCAAATTATTTTTTTAGTCCAGTAATACAGTAAGGTAAGTAAGTATATGCCGATGCGATGTGAAATCTTTGCGTGCATGACTTCAATTTGAGACCTAAATCATGCAAATTGGTTAGGTAGAAGAGCCAAACGAACTCGGAAAAGAGAAACCAAATTTAACTCCCATAAGAAATACATGGAGAGCAAATTTTGTGTACGTATAAGCCGAATGGGATTATAGATAAATATATGCCGATGCTTGATGGCAAATGTGTGCGTGCATACCTTCAATTTGAGACCTCAATCATGTTAATCGGTCGGGTAGAAGAGCCAAACGTTGTCGGAAAAGAAAAACCAATACAGTAGAGTCCCGCAAACTCGGCGTAATGTGGACTGGAAGGGTGCCGAGTTTGTGAAATGCCGGGTTACCGGGAACTAGGGTTAAAAATAAGAACAATAGAATTTTTAAGCTTTTTAACCTGCTTTTTTATTTATATTTATATTACAAGTCAGTATTAAGTCGTCAGATATAGTACAAATCCTTTTCAAGGACTATACTCCGGGAAATAAAATATAAAAATGATTGCAAATGTGGTGCCAATGCGAGTTCTCCACGGCAGAAGTCAGGACAATAACCGCTGCAGGCATGCCTATGGAGAGATTAAAACCCTTGCACATGCCCTTGGCTTCTGTCCGTTTGGTGAACTTCTAAGAAACACAAGGCACCACAAAGTAAGAAGTCTCATAGCAAATGCCTTCCGAAAATGGTATAATACATGGGAAGTGCAAGAAGAAGTACACTGTCTTTCTTCTAATGGAAGCACCAGAAGAGTAGATATTTTATTGATCGAAAGAGAAACAAACAAAGGCATAATTCTCAATCCAACAATTCAATTTGAAATAAACCTAAATCAACCTAATGAAGTAAATGAAGAAAAGAAAAAAAATTATGAATCTACCTTTGAATATTTCAATCAAAAATTCAAAATTTTGAAAATTTAGGTGATTGGATTGTTTATTGGTTCGAGAGGAACATAATCAAAATTTTTTGTGAACTTTTGGAAACAATATGATTTGGACAGATCCTTTTTGAAAATATTATCCATGAAACATTAAGAGGTTCATTGGCTATAATAAGAAATCATTTATATGGCAAACATAAAAATTAATCAGTCTTATAGCTGTTATAATCCTTCAATATTTTAAGTGTACAATTTTTCTGTGTCATTGGCAACCTTATTTTTTAAGGCAGACGTATTTATTTTTATAAATAAATTCTTTTCTTTAACCAAGTAGTTTGTTTAAAGCATCAAATTTTATCCCTTGTGTAACGTGCCTATTTTGAGGGGGGTCAAACTAGCATATTCCTATGTCTAGCCTATCCCTAGACATAGCCTACCAGTCCTAACTAAGGTTATAGGTTAGAAGGCTAACCTTAGTTATAACATCACTAGTAATTATAGGCATGATACACTGTTGTGTTTGGTAATAAATTAGTGTAGAACGAGAGTTATTAAGACTGTAAGACTGTATTGTTCGCGTTCATCACGAACGCGAACAATCAATCCGGCATCTCAACTGTCTCGACTTAATACTAATAAAATCACACCCCCAATTGCAGTTCGGCGAAATTTTGACAATTGCAATCATTTGATGCACGTACAATTTTCGCCCGAACGTGAATTTCCGAGCTACGAATTAGATATTAATAAATCGTCTTACACCAGCGACAAACGCGACTTTAGATGTTGATTGTACAAGCATGGGACCACGAGAGATGGCGAGACGGTAGCACACGGCACGGTTCGAGTGTAGTGTTCCTCCGCGTTACGTCATGTTGGACTGACTTGTCCATTGCCTGGCGCGGATTTTAAATCTTTTGCATTTGAAATCGGCACAAAAAGCAAATGATGTACATACTCTTAGATTAGAGCTTGATCGTTCCATTGTAGACTTAACTAACTGGTTTGCGGCAAATGGTTTAAAACTTAATAATTCTTAAACACATATTATGCAATTCCAAACACTACAGAATAAGCAAAACATAATTTTTGAATTACCATATGAAAATGATATTTTAGCTTTTGTCGAACAAACAAAATTTGTAGGCTTAAATATTGATACAAATTTGACATGGAAACGTCACATTGAAATATTAGCTAAAAAATTACATTCAGCTTGTTTCCAGATGTATGTTTTAAGAAACATAATAGATTCTAAAACAAAGGTCATAGTTTATTATGCCATATTTTTTTCCATTATGCAATATGGTATTGAGTTATGGGGCTCAACATTGTAACGGTCAGAAAAAGCGACCCACCAATTTTTTTTGTGACGTTTTGTTTATTGTCACCAAGCGTTGGACAGTGAGTTTAGTCAAGGATCGTTGTGGTGACGCGGCGACGGCGAATGGAAATTTCCACGAGCGGGCAGCAACCTGCTACTCAAGACAGTAATTCCCGCTATAGCCACTTACACACGGAGCGCTAGTGTCTCAGTTCGGAAGGAGTGGGGGAAGACTGGACATTCTCTTTTGACCGAGCTCGACGGTCATTCTCGTTCTCGCCATCTAACCGATCGGACCTTGTCTCGAAAACGTAAGTCATGATTCGACAGTTTAAGCCTAGGTTATAGTTATTTTGTCGTTTACATCAGAACTAACCCACGATAGTCGCATTAGCATTGGTATAACGCAATTTCGAATATTAGTGGAGAAAATCACTGTTTTCCGAAATATTAATCTTTTACATAAAATATTCCATAAGTAGGGGAAAAAGGGCGTTTCTCGAACACTCGTCGTCCCAGGATATTTTATTTGAGTTTGAAATTTAAGTTACAGTTTTTGAGCAGTTCGTTGTGCTGGGACCAGGGACACCATACCCTGACACCCGCATAGTTTAAGATCGAAATCGATCACTTCGTTGTCTTTTATTATTTTTCGAGCAATTCGTCGTGCAGGGACCAGGGACCCCATACCCTGACACCCGCACAGGTT